TTTTTAAAAAAAGAAAAAAAAATCCAAATGGAGAGTGTAAGTAAAATGTTTAAGATCACTACAGTCAGAAATCTGGCTAAAGTCTGAACCCCAAGTCACAGACTATTCCCTGTACGGAATTGCCTCTATTTATTGGTTAAAATCAATTCATGTATTCTAGTTGAGGACCTTTAAATTTTCATAGCAGCTTTCATCCACAGCTCTCAGGTTTTACCTTCTAAAGTTCAAAGACGCCTCCCTTTTCACCTTTCCTCATTTCCCCTCTGAGACTGACTTCCTTTCTGGACACACATTTCATGGTTGGACACCAATTTAATTGTTTGTTGTAGGAATCCCTAAGGGCAGGCACTGCTGTGTTACACAGGGGGAAAAAAGAGGGCTGTATGCTTTTCATATTTTATAATAAGAGATAATGACAGATGAGCAATTCAGTGTCTTTGGATGCTATAAAATTTTATTAGGGAATATCAAGCAATTCTACATTTAAATGGGTTACACAGAAAACATCTAGAAGGGAACATTTGAAGACTCCTCTATTTTGAATCAGAATTAGGATTCTAAAGCAATTGTGACCAAATTTGACAGTCACATCTGATTCGCCAGTGATGAGATGTGTCCAAAAGAGAAAGAGCAACAGTTAAGAGCCCCGAGGTTTGCCATCAGCCCGTGGGCCTGTGTGTAAATTCGCGGCGGCAGGTGCCGCGTGTCTGTCGAGCTAGCTGCTCTCTTCCCCACTGACGGGCGGGCAAGGGGGCCCTGGGGCCAGAGCGGGCCACTAGCAGCAAGAACCAGCAGAGCAGCAGGGGCGGCAGCAGCTGGAGATGCAGCAGGGGGGCCGGCAGCAGGGGCTGCAGCAGCTGGAGCCACAGCAGACCGGGCGGCAGCAGCTGGGGCTGCAGCAGCTGGAGCCACAGCAGGGGCGGCAGCAGCTGGGGCGGCAGCAGCTGGAGCCACAGCAGCTGGCGCTGGAGCCACAGCAGGGGCGGCAGCAGCTAGAAATGCAGCAGGGGGGCCGGCAGCAGGGGCTGCAGCAGGGGGGCCTGCAGCAGGGGCTGCAGCAGCTGGAGCCACAGCAGACTGGGCGGCAGCAGCAGGGGCTGCAGCAGCTGGAGCCGCAGCAGGGCTGGCAGCAGCTGGAGATGCAGCAGGTGGGGCGGCAGCAGCTGGAGCCGCAGCAGCTGG